CTATATACCACCAGTGACTAGAACCAGGCCACTGGGGACCATGGGGACTTACAGTACTTTAGCTACCTGCATGAATCCCCAACAGGATTTAAGTCATAACTCTAGTCACTGGTAGTTGTAGACACTACTAGCCAAACATTAAGACACAATCCAATTATGATATGTATTAAAATTCTAGTCCTCTGCAATGTACTTAGATATTATGAGGATTTATGTGTCACTATCAGGGGACAATGATTTTATTATACTTCAACCCCATTAAATGGCACAACCAGAACAACTGAAACTTGATAAATTGTATCCCATGTGAGAGAATCTACACAGTCAAGTAAAACGTGCTTGATCGGGGCCCAAGAACATTCCTTGATGCTGTTGGATATTTCTAAAACTTGGCTGACTTGCTAATCATAGTGCAAACACAGTAGACAGAATTTATGGATAACTTCTTGCATGACAGAGGTATAAGGATCTATACCGAAACATTGCCATGAACAGTAAATATACAAATTGTCTACTTTGTCATCCGTCAACTTCTAAGTAATAACTATCAAACAATGCATCGTGCACATATGTAAAATTTAAAATCGTTTGAAAAAGTTGGCACTGAAAGGATTAGATAATGTGACATGTAGAAATGCTTTGTTACATGTTAATATAAAAATCTTGAAAAAACGTATGCAAGAATCATTCTGTTTTAATCGTTCAGTGTTTTTGTGTTTGTATGTTGTAAGACTACCTACGTGGGGATATAGGGAACAGGCCAGGGACTTACTGCCCGCTGGACCATCAACTTGGTTGTTTTAGACTGGTGGTAGTGGCATGACAACTTGGCATATATTCTGCATATAAATAGCAATTATGAAAATGTTTTCATCAATAGTGTTTAAACTATTCTTGATAACTGTGGTTTGTTGTATATATTTACCGACTCACAGAGTATATCAAGACAGTGGTTAACACACTCAACTCAAAAACAAAAGTTCCTGTGACACCAATATTTTAGTGTATTTTTCAAACAAGTAAAGTTTGGTTTTCAATATTGTAGTACATGTATGGAATCAAGTCACAAAAACGCAACTGCTACAGAAAAGCATGCATTCCATGCAAAGGTTGACTTTTATGCAAGCCCCATGCATTTCACTACCCAAGAATGGGTATAAAAACGTGCGTTAACGGAATTCTTTATGCATTGTTTAGCATCGACCAATAATCGACAAGGCAACTGGATTCGAACAACACACCTACGAAAACGATTCCAGCCAGCAACAGTGACTGCAAGAAGCATCCCTGGCCTTCGACGAATATCTTCACAAACCCTACGTCGTCGCCTCAGATGTGCAGGGATTGTCGCCAGAAGACCCGCCAGACGTCCCATTTTCACAGGAAATCACCGTCAAGCACGTCTACTGTGGTGCAGACAGCGTCTACGCTGGACAGCCATGCAGTGGGGACAAGTTCTATTCACTGGCGGGTCTCGTTTTCACCTCAGCCACAGCGATGGACGGATTCGAGTGTACCGACGTCGAGGTGCACGTTACGTCAATCATTGTGTCATGGAAGAAGATCAGTTCGGGGACGGCAGCGTTTGGGGTATGGGGTGGGATTACAGCAAGACAGAGGACCCGTTTGATAGTGGTAGAGGGAAATCTCAATGGACAGCGCTACCGCGACCAGATTATCAGCCCTGTTGTTCTACCGTTTTTGCGTCGTCATGGCCCAGGCATTACCTTTCAACATGACAACGCCCGGCCTCATATTGCTCGACTTGTTCAGGAAACAAAATAACGTGAATGTCATCGCCTCGCCCGCTAGCTTCCCTGATCTCTCACCAATCGAGCACATGTGGGATGAGATGGATCGGCGCCTTTGACGTCAACCACGTGTTCCACAGACACTCCAGGAACTTCGAAACATGCTCCAGCAGACATGAACAGATATCCCATAGGACTTTGTGCGACGCCTGGTCCATTCCACGAGACGAAGATGTGTTGCTTGCATCGCAACCAGAGGTGGACACACACGCTATTGATTTGTAAATTGACATTTTGGCATGTTCTTGTGTTGTTTTTTTATGAAATCACGCATTTTCTGAAGTCAGTATGGCAAATTAAACCATTTGAACACTTACACGAGTCTTTTATCTGTTGCAAATCGAAATTGTTGCATATTTGGTAAAAACATAACTTTGCATTAAATCTTATTCAATGTCACAGGAACTTTTGTTGTTCAGTATATTAAGAATACTGATAATTCACCGTCATATGTAGAGTGAGTATGATTTTACTCCGCTTCTAGCAATATTCCAGCAATATCAAGGAGAACACCAGAAATGAGCTTCACGCATTGTGGCCATGTGAAGATTCGAACACGGGGCTTCGGCGTGACGAGCGAACGCTTTAACCTCTTGGCTACCCAAGCGACCCCATATGTAGAGAACAAAGAGTGAAAATGGGCCTTTGGAAGAACATAAACATTTTAACTGATATTGAGATTAGGACATAAGCATGTCATTGGTGATTGTGTTCCTCTCGGCCTGTGTCAAGGAGAAAGGCAACCGGTCATAGAAAGAAACATCAGCGACGTACAGTAAAGCTAGTAGATCCTTATGTTGCCGAAGACCAGTGCTATTCAACCAGGAGCACGCCATGTCCATCTACCAATCATATTCCATATTATCCTATAATATTACGACCGGCCAGCTATCACAGTTATAGCCAGTCATTATGAGTTATGCTCTCCAGAGGGCATACAGTGTTACTTCTGATGTGAGTAGAGACAAAGAACAGATTGACTGACAATAAATTATTCCATCATAGTTGTAAAGTATTATTTATGTAAGACAGCTACGCGATAAATCGCAAAAACACTGAAGAACGAGGCCTTTGTATTTCATGACAAACACAGTTCCTTTCTGGCATGATAGAGTCGGATGTCATGATTATTTAAATGCAAACATTTTTAAACCTTGTAAATTTTATTAATGTCCTTAAAGCAACAAATGTTGTCATTGACGGCAATCAATCAGCTTCCATACCCAACAGCTACAGATTCCGACAACTGTACTGCCAATGAGTTTTATGTTGTACTTCATAAAGTATTCCAGTTTCCCGCTGAAGATGAATTGGATGTGGTTGTTTGTAGACTGTTGACTGAGAGGCCACATGAACACTATCTTACCCTTCTTGATGAAATCAAACTGAATTAAAAAGCTTCTGGTGGCTTAACGTTTTTCAACTCAAATCACCATGGATTGGGATTTATTCAAACATATGTTCATGCACCTAGCTGGGCAACGAGACTCAATTTGATCATCAATCAGTCATTACAACCAGCATTGTATGCCCATGGTAAGAAAGTCTTCCACCCATATATAGTTCTGTGAAAGACATTCAGAAGTTACAGTCAGAACAGGAGCGTAGGCACATTTGCATGGGAAACTATGAGGCTCAATACGTACCTATGGTGCCGTTTACTGTTCACGTCAACATCATAACTTAAGTACTAGTATATAATTTAAATTTCGTTTCATGAAGTTCAAACTCGTCCACATGTGGATTCACATCTGGGGGGACATTCCAGCTTGTTTTGCAATGTGATTGCATTTGAAAGTACCCGCATGGCAGCGTTAATATGTCATTATTTTATAGGGATCAGTTTTAGACAAAAGCAGCCTTAGGTCGATATTATGTAAGGACGGGATAGGTAGTGACATTTAATAACCATAGAATTACCCTCTCATGTGCGGGCAGCGGATCTAAAAAAAACATAACAAATACATTAATGTTATATCTGGTAGTTGGGAAACTGACACTTTAGAGGTGGTGAGGTTTAACGGGGTTTAAGGTCGCGTTCATTATTATTGCAATTATACAGCGAGGCGCAAGCACGTGTGTGTGTATGTGTGTGTGGCTGCTTGTACTAGTCTGGTCTAATGCCGGGTTTATAGTGCTAGCCCACTGAGATACCATGCCGCTGTTTAACATGAATACCCCACGCAGACACAATATACCGACTGAAAGCCGACCAGTCCTTGTTTTATCCCCTTAATACCGAGAGCAAGGCTGGGCAACATGTACCATCTCTCAACGTCTTTGAGGATAACGCGGCCGGGGATCGAACACCCTAAGTACCGCTCTCCGGGCGGACACTCTGTCCACTTGCGGATCAGAGTGTCAAGTGTAGAACAGCATATATAGTACACCGTAGACCATTTGGGTGTATCAAATGTAATTGTTAGGCGTTGTCTGTGACCGTTACATTTTGCTGTCACCAACACAATACCCAGGGGTGATGGAAAAACTTTTAACCGACGCCACTTTGACGAAGAAAGTTTAGTTTACAACTTCATCGACCATGTTTCTAGATTAAAAGCTGGCAGTGCCAATATACCAGCATAAGGAAACAGGTAGCTGTTTATCAAGTTATCTTTGTGTTACGAAATATTCACTCAGAGACAAGCATGTCTTGTGTTGCAAAATGAACATATTAGTTTACGACAGTCTGAAATATAATTATTCTTTTCAAGAATTTCCAATTTTCGCGAAATTGAATCTGTTAACCTGTTAGACTGGTAATTCTCTTGCATTGACAATATATATTTAAGACCGATTAAAACGGCTTTGAATTGTAAATTTGTTTGTTGTTTAACGACGTCGCACTCAGTAATATTCCAGCTATATGACGGCGGTCTGTAAATAATCGAGTCTGGACCAGACAATCCAGTGATTGATATCTTGAGCATCAATCAACGCAATTAGGATCGATGACATGCATCAACCAAGTCAGCGAGCCTGACCACCCGATCCCGTTAGTCGCCTCTTACGACATGCAAAGTCGCCTTTTACGGCAAGCATGGGTTGCTGAAGACCTATTCTACCCTGGATCTTTACGGGTGTGTACATCTGTACAGTGGGATGCCGAACATTAGGTCACCGTGGCAAAGTGAAGGTGGTTTCGTCGTAATGAGACTGGATATCGTCTGGCGTTGACGTTTTGTGTTATGGTTAAAATGTATATTTATTGCAGCTACAAATTCAGCCCATGTGATCCTTTCTGCTGGAGACACCGGATAAGAGTAACTTCTCCCGTACGTCTAGTCTCTGTATCCTCTCCAGGATTAATTTAGTTAACACAAATACACAGCCCCTCCTCCCCACCCCCGCTACCCGGCACGTGGGTAGAATTAGTCCCAGGTACTCCATCGTTAGGGGTGACATCATCAGTGTTCTGGTTTTCAGTGGTTTGGTTGACTTCTTCTGATTGTACCCGATGTCAACCACTTGTCTTGAATATTTATTATATAAATGACACATTGCTGACTGTGACATTAAACAACATTCACACAACTGTTGACTATCAATTTTTGTGCATTAATTCTCCCTCATATATTTGTCACACCGAGGCTGTTGGCTTTTCAATCATCAGATCAGTTCTTGTGGATTAATGCTCCCGAATATTATGTTTACTCTTATGTAGTAAATCTTTAAATGCGCCCTGTCAACATACTTCACAAGTGAGCCTTGTTTATTCTAAATCTCATCCAGAGAACTGTGAGAATGTCGTCACTTCTTCTGACGACACACATGACGTCACCAGGATTGTCTCCTTCCCATGACGTTACAGTGAGGTCGTCACCTTGAAACCCCTCTCTCCTGTAGTATATTGACAGGTCAACCAGCCACAACCTCCTCACATCCCCCTTCACGTGTGCGTACTGGTGTCTCCCACTGGCCACAGCGACACAGTCTAGGGCAAACCTTATGTATTCCGAGTTGTTCAGATGGTCGTTGACGTCCACGCTGCTAGGCATGACGGCTATGGATTGTGAAAAGGACATGGGTGACGGGGGAACGTCAGGTATTAAGATCCTGGACTTCCGAATAGCTTCATTAGTAAATCGTCCATATTTATCTAAAAACCATGAAGGAAAGGCTACGGGTTTCCTCGTCTTTCTGTTTAGAAGGACCATTGTGGCATCCAATGAGACAAGAGTCTTGTTGTCGAGACGGTTGATCATGCGATGGCGCCACACAAGGGATGTCCTTCCCACATTTTGTAAGGTGACGACTATCTTGTATGGGAAATAGCTCAGCACAGTGGCTGAACAGAGCAACTCCCACTTGAATGCATATTCCATCCTCATGGTGACAAACATGCCTCCCGGGGACAACAACTCTGTACTATGACAGAAGCCATTGGACATTGACAGGAATCGACCACTCTCAAGGCAGCGAGTTAAAAACCAGGGATTGATTCCACCTGAAATAAGCAATAGGTTTTATGCCCATAGTGTTATACACCTTCACAATTAGCAGCAGTGGATGGGGATATTGCAACGTGCATTCAACAGTTATATAGAACACACTGCTTACTCACAGGCAATGACTACAAACAGCGTACGTCACAAGCAGTGATTATATACTGCATACGTCACAGATAGTGACTACACACTGCGTACGTCAAAGGCAATGCCTACATATATACTGCGTCCGCCACAGGCAGCAACCACACTACATACGTCACACGCAAAGATTAAACACAGCGTATCTCACAAATCACAATGCAAGATATGTCCAATAAAGCTGTGTATGTTAATTCATGTTCAAACGACATACATGTATTTGTCCAGAAATGGTGTCCTTTGTATTATACAATTGATCTAAAGAAATTGTCAAATTGCGACACGCGATCCTAAGCCTGTCTTTAAAGGTGTTTGCGTTAATCTCAGGAATGGATACAAGGGACATAGCATATCTCCGATATGTATTTGCCGTGCCTGTGTTAGTTTCCCGATAGTTCTGTCAACAATGTTCGACCCACGACATAATCAGCCCCCACGACTCCCCACCCGACCCAGGTAAGCCGTGATGGGAGCTTAACAACCTGGGATACCCAGGTGTAGTGATAGGCTGTGGTGGTAAGTGTTCTCTAACTGGAGTTAAACTGACAGTATGTTATTATATATTATTATCGCATGCCCAAGTCAGCACCATTACAACCATCAGACAACGACTCCTTGTAATATCGACCTAGGACCACAAGAGTGGATGTCCACGTGCTTAAGGTCCAGGTTAAACTTTTCAAGTCAGATCTTGGGAAAAGCTGCAGTTAGTGTGGGCCCAGTTCTGCCCCAAACCAACTAGGGCACTTCCGAGGGATATCGTGCAAACAAATTCGCTCACCCGATCCACTGTAGGCGCTGTACGATAAGTGTGGATACAGGATCTCAGACTTGCTGCCGTCCGCGGACAGGGTCATCTGGTAGCTTTGTGTCTCCATCATTTTGCTGAAAAAGTACACAGCAAATCAAGAAATTAAACATAATGTTGAAACTGGTGTGATCACATTCTGTGCTTTACTTAAATTCGTTGGAGGCGAGATATATTTGGGGTGTACCTAACATGAACCCATCTGTAGCTGCGTTAACCGTATGTCTGTGCTGCAATCCGTACATGACTTTGATGTTGACTTGTGGCTGCACAGAGCCACGTACTGTCCGATAGTGTTTTCTCAATAGAATCCCGATGAGGAACGTACCACACCCACATCCCCGCAATACTGTACACGAAGCGTAATCCCACTAAAAACTAAAACACGATTCGCTTTCTAAAACACCTGCCTTCAAAAATGTGTACCTATATTTTGATCATACAACTTCCCATGTACTCATCGGTCTGGAAGCATCGAGAGGGTACTTTACATGCTTCAGCAAAGTGCATGCGTACTCATCAGAGGCTGTCAGTATTTTGTGTTTCCCATCTCCCGCCCGCCCTGAAGTTTCGTTCCGACGTGAAAAAATAGGAATGTATCTGATCTCAATTCTCTAATCTCGCCGCTGTGGAAACGTATTCCTCGATGTGATAAATAGAGAATCTCACTCGAGTGTCTTTTGATATCAAATATATCAACGAGTGTAGATATATTTGATGTCAAAAGACACGAGGGTGAGATTTTATTTATCATCCAACATCATTCTGCCAACTCTTTCAGTTTGGAGACAGTAATAAGCAGCTTCAGTAGCAAAGCCATATGCGATGTCATTGGATTGTGATGCAATTTCAATGTCGATATCGCTTGATCTTACCCAAGTCATATCACCTGTGGGAGCCAGTTTCGGAAGATAAAACAAATTACTCCTACAATTGTACACTGGAAATCCAGGTCAGTTTGATCTTTCTTAAGCAATATTTATTAAAAATTCGCTTCCAAGGCAAAGCGACTTGATCTACATTTTTAATTAATGAAAGGGGTGTTATGAGGTGTTCTATACTTTAAATTTTCAAAACGTTTAACGCCGTACTCAGCAATATTCAAGCCATATGACGGCAGTCTGTAAATAATCGAGTCTGGACCAGACAATGCAGTGACTGACATGAGCAAATCCACACAATTGGCATCGATGATATGCCTGACCACCCGATCCCGTTAGTCGCCTTTTACGGCAAGCATGGGTTGCTGAAGACATATTCTACCCCGGATCTTCATGGGTCCATAAAATATGTTACACAGTTAGTGAAAACAGTTTGTTTGGTTTTTTTCATTGTTTTTTTTCGAAAATATTGCCCGCCCGCTTCCTTGTTGGTTGAGGTTGGAGATGAGAAACATACAAAAATATGCAACATGACTCCCATCCTGAAACACTACCCTTCATATGCGAGTACATATAATATATACAATTTAGTTAATGCAATAGTATATTTACTTATTTACTTGTCGAGTGGAAACCCGACCGGTAGAGAAGTTTTATCCGGCTAAAAATGATTCGATCCAACCCGAAAAGTACAAAGAAAATTGTATATAAAAAATATATTTGAAGGCAACTGTTTCAGGAAGCGAATCGTGTTGCAATTTTCGTGAAATTACGATTCATGAACATTATGACAGGGTCTTAGTATGAAATGTGTTGAATTGGGAATCTATAAGGAAAACATTATGGGACAATCCTTAGCTCTGTGTAGCGGCACGTCTCTATTATATCTGGAATATTGCTGAGTGCGGCGTTAAACACCAAACAAACTAGGATTCGAAGAGCGTTGTCATGCGTTGAAATAGAGTAGTAATCCGCACCCCCTCAAAAAGGGAGGTAACCCATACTGTCCTCGTGAAAGGATGTAACAAATTCTCAGTTCGTTTCATTAAATGTCCCAGTTTTAAACCGTGCCTGCACAACACACTTTTCCCATGAAGTCCATGAAAGTGAAAACACATGTAGCGCATTATAATGGACAGGAGACATTCTCCGTCTTGACCAGGTTCAACACTCACCTCGTGCACGCGTCCCTGGCCAAATGAGTACAAAGTTCACAGTGAAGAAAGAGTTAGCTCCCTTGGCTACCAGATTAACAGCCGGCGGAAGCGTCCTTAAAATACACGACATTAAGCTGTCAACACACCAACAATGTCCATTGATGTGAACGTTGATTATTGTTATTAAACCGGCGACAATCGGTTTGATTTACTTCGTATTCGTGAGTGAGTATAAAGTTACGCCGTTTTCCAGCAATATCACGGCGGGGGACACCAGAAATTGGCTTCACACATAGTACCCATGTGGGGAATCGAACCCGGGTTTTGGGCGTGAAGAACGCTTAACCACAGGCTACCCCACGGACCCTAGATTATACTCATCGTTGACATTATGGTTTACATTGTGGAATTCTATGTGGCGTGTTATTAAAACCATAAACATACTGTAAGTAGTATATCCGGCTCTGCTCGGACAGGATCAACCTCGCCCTTAGTTATGTTCTGGGGCGGTCGGGTAGCCTAGTGGTTAAAGCGTTCTCTCGTCATGCCGAAGACCCGGGTTCGATTCCCGACATGGGTACAATGCGTGAAGCCCATTTCTGGGGTCCCCCGCCGTGATATTGCTGGAATATTGTTAAACGCAACGTAAAACCATATTCACTCACTCACTTGTGACGTTCTGAGAATTCTGCACATGACCATATGTGACTTCCGGTTCCGTGAGAATGGTAGGACAGATTACCTCATAAATGGCGGACATGGTATCGCGTAATTCTCGCGAAATCACTGCGACACACGTCGCACTTACAAAAATGAAGGACGCATTATAATTCTCGCGAAATAATAGTCAGATCTTTATTAAAAGTAGTTTTTAATGTATGCATTATATGCTACGAGTGTAAGTGAACCATTTTATTGGTGAATACTAAAGCTGAAGGGGTCGTTGTCGGCACGGGTTCTACAGATATGTCTTTTGTCCATTCCGCCGCAGGCCGCATTGCACAGTGCGCTTGACCGGTTCCTCCGCCGCAGGCCGCATTGCACAGTGCGCTTGACCGGTTCCTTGAACGCTTACGTATACGACTCGTCTTGGATGCCAAACCGCGGTAAAAGTCATCATGGTATTTCCTTTCCACAAACCGGAACTGTCATAGTGTTGTATGAGATGCATTTCAACGTACAATATAAAATCCGAGCATACACAGTGACGTACGTACAGTAAGTACTCTAATATTCCGCGATGCACAGCATTACCAAGCATGCACTCAGGCGAACCAGAACTACAACTTGAACCGGTTTTCAGTTCGGGTTATGGACCCGACGCCGTTTAGGGTACCAGATACCTTACTTTATTCTGTTTTTGGCTATAGTGTCTGTTGAAGTCGTGCCGACAACGACCCCGTCAACATTAATTAAACACAATGGGTGTATCTTGTTCGGTGTATATTAAATGCTACGAAAGTAAATACAGAAAGACAGAAGACGATATTCAGTGCTTTAGGCCATAATACAAACAAGATGGAAAAAGTAATTAAATGTACATGCTGAATAAACGGCAGGGGGAACGCACTTACGACGAAACATTGTTAATATTTTCCGTTGATAAGAGAGAAGATGAAAAGTTAGATAGGTTTTTACAATAAGTAAAGGTTTAAACTGACATTAATAATTACACTTCTTCCCCGTTCACATGCACAACATTTACTAACGTAAGTAATTTTGCGCATGTGTTGCTAAACATACGTGTGTATGTGTAAATTTACTATGCGTTCACATGAAAATCAACTTAGGTGTGTAAATGACGTATGTAAATTGTGTAAGGCAGTAAGTCTGTTAACGACTTTCAACACGAAACAGGTTGTTTTCCAATCAAAGTTGAATTTTACTTCACCGAAAATTGTCGCGTAAAGAAACATGTGTTTGATTTAATTTGTACACAAAGTTTTGACTCCTTGAAACCAAAAGTAAATACCGTCCGCTCTACACCTAAAAGTTGGCAACTGTTGACAATTTTGTTGGTGTTGGCAAAATAACAGATATTAATTAGATCATCTTCTTACATTGACATAAACGTTCACATTACAACATATACGCTCAGTGCAAATTTACATCTACATTTGCACCTGCTCCAGACATGATGCAAATTTGGTCCTGCTGTAAATATACACACATGAGTAAACGCGTTCACATGACAAGTATACTCACGTGTGTATTTACACACACGTATGCACATATACACACATATGTATAGAGGCGCATGTGAACGGGGTATTAGACGGAGTGATGCTAATATTGAAAGAAGCAGGAATAAAATCTCTGTTTGAAGATGCAGCCAATGTCTTGAGACGGTCATATAAATCCAAAACCATGTATAAATAAAATATTTCTAATATGAGATGCCGGTGGTGTGTAGAGGTGAGGTGGTGTGGTGTGGAGAGATGTGATGTGGTGTGGTGTGGTGTGTAGAGGTGTGGTGTGGTGTGGTGTGGTGTGGAGAGATGTGATGTGGTGTGGTGTGTAGAGGTGTGGTGTGGAGAGATGTGATGTGGTATGGTGTGTAGAGGTGTGGTGTGGTGTGGTGTGTAGAGATGTGATGTGGTGTGGTGTGTAGAGGTGTGGTGTGGTGTGGTGTGTAGAGATGTGATGTGGTGTGGTGTGTAGAGGTGTGGTGTGGTGTGTAGAGATGAGGTGGTGCGTGGTGTGTAGAGATGTGGTGTGGTGTGGTGTGTAGAGGTGTGGTGTGGTGTGTAGAGGTGTGGTGTGGTGTGTAGAGATGAGGTGGTGCGTGGTGTGGAGAGATGTGATGTGGTGTGGTGTGTAGAGGTGTGGTGTGGTGTGTAGAGGTGAGGTGGTGCGTGGTGTGGAGAGATGTGATGTGGTGTGGTGTGTAGAGGTGTGGTGTGGTGTGGTGTGGAGAGATGTGATGTGGTGTGGTGTGTAGAGGTGTGGTGTGTAGTGGTGTGGTGTGGTGTGGTGTGTAGAGGTGTGGTGTGGTGTGTAGTGGTGTGGTGTGTTGTGGTGTGGTGTGTAGAGGTGTGGTGTGTAGAGGTGTGGTGTGGTGTGGTATGGTGTGGTGTGTGTGGTGTGATGTGGTGAGATGAGGTGTGCAGAGGTGAGGTGAGGTGTGATGTGGTGTGGTGTGTGTGGTGTGATGTGGTGTGGTGTGGTGTGGTGTGATGTGATGTGTGGTGTGATGTGATGTGATGTGTGGTGTGTGGTGTGTGGTGTGATGTGGTGAGGTGAGGTGTGCAGAGGTGTGGTGTGGTGTGTAGAGGTGTGGTGTGGTGTGTGTGGTGTGATGTGGTGAGGTGAGGTGAGGTGTGGTGTGGTGAGGTGTGGTGTGGTGTGTAGAGATGTGGAGAGGTGTGGTGTGGTTTGCGTGTGTGATGTGGTATGATGTGTGGTGTGGTGTGTGATGCGGTGTGGTGTGATGTTTGGTGTGGTGTTGTGTGATGTGGTGTTGTGTGGTGTGGTGTGGTGTAGTGTAGTGTGGTGTGGTGTGTGTGGTGTGGTGTGGTGAGATGAGGTGAGGTGTGGTGGTGTGTGACGTGGTGAGATGTATGGTGTGTGATGTGGTGTGATGTGTTGTGTGGTGTTATGTGGTGAGGTGAAGTGAGGTGAGGTGAGGTGAGGTTAGGTGTGGTGTGGTGTGGTGTGTAGGGTTGTGGTTTTGGTGTGTTGTGTTGTGTTGTGTGTTGTGTAGTAGGGTGGTGTGGTGTGGTGAGGTGAGGTGTGGTTTGTGGTGTGGTGTGGTGTTGTTTTGTGGAGTGGTGTGTTGTGTTGGTGGTGGTTTTGAGAGGTGTTGTATGGTGTGATGTGGTGTGTGTTGAGGTGTGGTGTGGTGTGGTGTGGTGTGGTGTGGTGTGGTGTGGTGTGGAGTGGTGGGTGTGTTATGTTGAGTTGTGTGGTGGTGTGGTGTGTGTGGTGTAATGTGGTGTGGTGAGGTATGGTGTGGTGTGCAGAGGTGGGGTGAGGTGAGGTGAGGTGAGGTGTATTGTGATTTGGTGTGGTGTGTGTGGTGTGAGGTTTGAGGTGAGGTGTGGTGTTTAGAGGTGTGATGTGATGTGGTGTGGTGTGTAGAGGTGTGTTGTGGTGTGATGTGTGTGGTGTGATGTGGTGAGGTGAGGTGAGGTGAGGTGAGGTGTGGTGTGGTGTGGTGTGGTGTGGTGTGTAGAGGTGTGTTGTGGTGTGTGGAGTGTTGTGTGGAGTAGTGTGGTGTGTGGTGTGGTGTGGTGTGGTGTGGTGTGGTGTGGTGTGGTGTGGTGTGGTGTGTGTGGTGTGATGTGATGTGGTGTGTGGAGTGGTGTGAGGTGTGGTGTTGTGTGGTGTGGTGTGTAGAGGTGTGTTGTGGTGTGTGGAGTGTTGTGTGGAGTAGTGTGGTGTGTGGTGTTGTGTGGTGTGGTGTGGTGTAGTGTGTAGTGTGTGTTTTTGTTGTTGTTGTTTTTTGTTTGTTTGTTGTTGTTTTGGTTTTTTTTTTCTTTTTTTTTTTGGGGTGGGGGGTGGGGGGGGGGGGGTGGGGTGGGGGCAGGACAGAGGGAATCAGGGGTAGATCATAATAAGATAATACACATATTTTGGGAGGATCATAAAAAGATGTACAAGTACATGTGGAGGGTCATCCAACAATATCCATGACAAGCATTAGGGGAGGGTCAGTATTAGCAGTACATTTGTGCATGAAGAAGCTGTTACCCAAATATGGGTATCTTTTGCAAATTTGTATCTGCCTTGTTGTAGGATTGCTTTTATTATGCTGATAAAAAGTTACATTTTCCTCATTATTTGAACTGATATATACTCAAAGTCATTGAAAACCATGGGAAAATGTCGTCTTCTCTGACGAGTCCCGTTACACACTCTGTTTTCCGGATGGACGTCGCCGTATCCATCGACGTAGGGAAGAACGTGTCAGTCCATGCCTCGGCGACTACAGGCATGCGCCAGAGCCAAGGTGGACATACCCGCTACTGATCCTCGGTGTGGAGGGTCATCCAACAATAGCCATGACAAGCATTAGGGGAGGGTCATCCAACAACAGCCATGACAAG